ATCTTGTTTTTTAGTTCATATTTTTCACACTTCTCAGTCATTCTCCTGAGTAATTAGGAATCTTCAGATGCTTTCATCTTGGTAACTCCTTTTCCTATTTTACATGTTCATGTTGTCAAATATTTTGTGTGAAATCTCTCTTAGAACAATCATTGTTTTTTTTAAAAGTCATTGTTTACATGTGCTTATGTGTTTATTTCTTGGTTCATTAGCATGTTATGGTTGTTTGATATCAGACATAAAACGTACATAGTCCAGGCTTATCTTGAACTCAGGTGTGTAACCCAGGCTGGCCTTGGACTTCCAGCAGTCCTCCTGCCTTAGACTCCCCAGTGCTGACATTACAGATGTGCAACACCACGCCTGGTGCTCAGTATGTTTCTTTTTGCCCGCCCCTCGCTTTGCCTCTTTCTTGAAAATATATTCTTTAGTAAAAGTTCTTTCATTGAGCAACTGGAAGTGGTAAATTCTCTAAGTCTTTGATGGAAAATGCCTTCCTTGTTTGTTGCTGATGAGAAGTTTGTAGTCAGTCAAATGGTTCCAGTTTCTTTTTAATTAATCTGTTATTTTTCTCTGATTCTTGGAAATGTATTCATTGACTTTAATGTCATGTAGTTTCATTATAATAAGATTGGATATGGATTTGTAAAAAGTTTTTTGGCTGATATTTGATGTGCCCCCCACATTTGTTTGTTTGTTCATTTGCTTGATTTTAATACAGTGATTTGTTATGTTGCCCAGGCTGGCCTCAAACTTGCCTTCCTCCTGCTTCAGTATCCTGAGTGTTGGGATTACAGGCATCTTCTACCATGCCTGGCTTGATGTATTTCTTGAATCTAAAGATAAATACCTATTATTTCTGAAAAAATTACTAGTTATTATGCCTTCAAATATTTTTTCTCTATATTTACTCCTTCAGGAGTATTATTTATGTAGAAATATTAAGACAACTGTTATCCTATTTATACATTATATCTTATTTTATTTTTGATGTTTTTTTACCTTTCTTTTTAGTTTTTTATCTAGCTGTGCTGCATCAGAGAAGTTGCCTTAGATCTGTGTTCTAGATTACTAATTCTTCAGCTCTGTTTAATTTTAGCACGTCTTTTAATTTTTAGCTTCCATGATTGTTTTTCATTTTTGTTAGCTCTCTGAGTCTTCATCAGATTTCTTTATGCCTTGTTCTTTTCTCACATTAAAATCTATTATTTTATAGTTTAATGATTTAAAAATTCTTTTTAGTTTTCATAATAATCCTATTATTTATTGTTCTTGGTTGGTTATTACAGGGTTTTTAATGATTGCATAGTAACTACCTTTTCTTTCCTGTTGTATAATTCTTTCTTGAGTTGTTTTTAAAAGGATTTGTGTTTTTTTCCCCTGCATGACATTTTGTGAGGGATTGGGGTTCCACTCAAAATGATTTTCTTTGCTTCTGGCAGTAGTTTCAAGGATATCATCAACTCAGGGCCAATTTTTATGTCACTTTTTGGATTGGGATTTCACAGATGCTTCTGTTAGTATGAATTTAAACTTTAAGCTAATAGGAGTTACAGACTCAAAATAGTAGGTTGTTCATAGGGCCTTTTCAAATCCCTGTATCTGGAGACTGTGCAGTGATAGAAAGTTCCTTATTTACTGGTCAGATTTTTGTTTTCTATAATATACCGTTTGACTGAGGAATGCCACCCTTCTGGACACTCACGATTTCAAATCCTTACCACACATGGACTCAATGCTTAATTGTATAGCCTCAGATTAAACCCTTAACCCCTCACTTACTGAGACTGATAACCTCCTGCAGTAGCTGTCTCATCCCTCATCACTCACAGACCTGTTCATTTACTTTTAGTCTCTTTGTTCTGGCACCTGAGAATTTGTTGTTATTGCTTGCAAGCTCCATTATGCATTTAAAACAGTTGTTATATTTTATCCAGCATTTTGTAGTGTTTGAAAGCATTTAAAATGTGTTTTGGGAAGTTAGAAAATAGTGGTTAGATTGTCTATTACTGCCATGTTGCTAGAATCAGGAATATATACGTTACTTACTAGCTTTGGTTGGTGAGGAATCCCTTATTGAAACCAAAAATTATTCTTTAAAGTCTGAAACACACCACAAAGTACTATTTGTAAATATAGGATCGACTACATTTCTGTGCTTTTATAGGTACAGTAATTCTTATTGTTAGACTGAAAAGTTATCTTCAAGATAAATTTCTGTTTCTTGAGTTTAAATGTATCAGTTAACTATTACTGAAAATCTTAGATGTAAATGAATGTTCATTTTCATTAGGAATTAATAATGACCTGAAGGTATGATAAAACAATCATATTCACATTATATAAAAGAAAGCTTGTTACAAAGCCAGAATACACTCCTCTTAAATTTTCAATAAATTTTATATTATAACTGTATTCAGCTCTGTGTGGACCTCTGGAAGCAATAAGAGGAGGATCCCTCAATGCACAGTGTACATAATTCTTGGAAGGAGTTATGGATGGATGAGAGCTGTACTTTTAATGGAGGGATTTTTCTAGGCAGAAGAGAGGCAACATATAAGAAGAAAGTTTTAGAAAAGATTATTAAGTTGTAATAATACATGTGACCAATTTATTGATTCTTATCTTTGTTATTCTTCAATGAATTGTGTAGGGTTTGTTTTACATAACTATTTACTTCTTAATACTTGTTTGTGCAGTATTTTTTTCATGTGTCTGTGTGTGGTACTCAGTTTTTCAAGTGGTGAAACCTGATACTTCTCAGACTTTGCCATCACTTTTAACTGAATCTTGTTATTTTTACTGCTTATTTCAAATAACCAGTGATGCTGGGAATGACTAAAGTATCTGCTGAGCATTGCAGTATGGAAAGTACATTGGAGGGGAGAGATCAATTAGAAGACTGGGGAAATAGTCTAGTATAATCTATTGGTGGGGAGAATACAGGGTGTAACAGATTTGAGGGATATCGAGGACCTAGATCTGGAAACAGTTGATGATTAATGTGATATGGATTATGATGGAAAAAGAAGAGTCAATAGTGTCTGTGTTTACAATTCTGATAGTTGGGTTGGTATTGGTTCTTGTTATTGGGACAAGGGACACAGAAGGAATGAGTTTGAAGAGGAAAATATTGAATTCAGTTGGGTATCCGTGGAACATCTAAGTGTCCAATAGGCAGTTGGATATAAGGATCTAAGGAGCAAGAATGAATCTGGGTTAAAATGTGGCCATCTCTAGACTGTAAATGATAATTGAAGTCATGAAAGTGAATCAGATTGCTCAGGATGAATAAGTGAAATGAGACTAGAACAAGGCCTAGAACAAAACTTTGAAGAAGACCAACCAGGAATGGATAAAGGAGGTGGTAGGATTGTCCTGAGAGAAATCAGGGAAAGGACAAAGTAACCACATCAGATGTCACTCAGTTTAGCAGCCAGGAGTTAGACCATGACCTGGAGAGTACTTTTGGTGACATTGTGAGTGTGTAAGCACTTTACTGTTTAGTTCACAAATGAGTTAAGGTGAAATACTGGAGACAACAGATAATTCTTTTCCATAAAAAGGAAGAAAAATAGGTGAGAAACAGTCTAGGATAAAGCAGGTTTTCTTGTTTCTGTAATTATTGTTTGTGTGTTTTATAGGTTTGTCTTTTCAGCATTTGTTTTCAAATGCTGGTGTTTAGAAAAGGAGATGTTGAAAATAAAGATAGGGAAATGAATTATCAAGTAAGGTTCTTGAGTTGGGACAGAAAATGGGATCAATACATGATTGGGATGGAATGAACTTAATGAAAAAAAAGAATGTTACAATTATTAAGTATTATAAAAAATGATTGGGATGGAATATGTGAACGAGGAAGGTAGAAATGTGGTCAGAATGTAAATATCTAGTGTCCTAATGTATAATTTAAGAGATGGAACACTTCTGAATGATGGCAAGACAAGGGATGAGAGTGCGTGTTGGAGCAGAGGTCAAAATTAGGGCAGGAGAGATGAAAATTCTGGTTAAGAATCAGATGAACCTTCTAAGTGTCCTTGCTCCTGTGGCTGAGGAAGGGGGATGGTCTAGTGAGAGTGAGAATGACTGGGTAATGACCACTGAATTGGACACTTAGTGTAGTGTGAGCTGCATAAGGAGCACATTTTTATAAAAGGGTGTAGGAGTAAGGGTGTGCAAACAATATTGGGTAGCAAAGAGACCACAATCTTAGTCCCGATCTTTGGTTTATGAAATATGCAGGAATGAACAATGAGAGCTAGAAAAGCTTGTTCTTAGGTGAGGTGTGTTGCAGTTAAGGGAAAGAAGTGGAATGCCTGTTCAGGAAATTGGTAAGGAGGTAGGATATGTTTGTTTGCCATTTGCATGAGTTTTAGACTGAGACTGGTAGTAGAAATAAGATGAATTAAGATCAGTGTTTAGTTCTGTACTATTCTATTTTTAAGAAGTAATTTTTTTCCTCAGCTTTCCCTGTGTTTATAATACACAAATGATTTTCTTGATTTAAAACTTGAAATTGAAACAAGTTGTGTTGATATATCAAGCGATATCCACTGGTTAAAGAACCTACTTTATACTGTTAATTCTTTTAGTATTTTAAAGTTAACACTCATAAAAAAGCTTTGCCATAAAATGTAAATTCCTTTTAAATTATGCTACGTGATTTTTAAATTTAAGGAGTTGTTATTATAGTGGATAAAATTTTAAGCCTTTGTGGTTAGTAATATTAGATCTTTATATTACAACTTTGTTTTACATTCACTTCTGTTTAATTTTGAGGTCTGGTTTCATTTTTGTTAAATTTTTATTTTTTAGCCTTTAACTTTCTTAGTATGGATGGTAGAGAATGATAATTATGACATAGTTACCCACTTTAGTAACAAAAGAATGAATAGTGGTGTATCAGCAGCATTAGTTCTTGTGTGTGTGTATCAGTAGGTTCTGTAAAGGGAGCCAAGGGCTTCGTGAGCTTTCTTACTGTGATGGTTTATGTTTTGCAGGGACCATGGCGAAACCTGCTGGATCTTTAGCCAGAAGCAGTAGTTTGTGCCGCTCTCGTCGCAGCATCGTGCCATCCTCATCCTCACCGCAGACCCAGCGATCTCAGCTTCCCCCACATGCTCCCCACCCCTCCCACCCTCGGCTCCCTCACCACCCCCAGCAACCCCAGCACTCCTTGCCTTCCCCGGATCCGGATATCCTCTCAGTGTCAAGTTGCCCTGCACTCTACCGAAACGAAGAGGAGGAGGAGGCCATTTATTTCACTGCTGAAAAGCAATGGTATTGCAGTGTGTAACTCAGTAAATGCTGGGGTGGATGGGATTGAGCTGTGAGGACAGGAGCGGGATGGGGCAGAATGGTGCATTGTGTTAGTTTTCTCTGGCTGCATAACAAGTTGCCACAGACAGTGGCTCAGTTGATACCCATTATTAGCACTCAGTTCTCTATGTCAGTAGCGCAGGCCTGGTATATCTGGGTATTCTGCTCAGGGTCTCACAAAGCCTAAATCAAGGTGTTGGCTAAGTTGCATTCTCATTTGGAGTTCAGGGTGCTCTTCAGAGCTCATGCATTGTGGCAGGAGTCAGTTCCTTATGACTGTAGCACTTAAAATCCTATGCCTGTGTTGCTTCATGGGCAGGGCTGTTCTCAGTTCCTAAAGACTGCTTCCTGTCCTTTGTCATGTGATCTCCATTTTAAAGCCACTAACAGAATTTCCCTTCTATAAAGCCCTCCATTGCTCTGAATCTCTGACTTCCTCCATCTTTGGTCTCTACACTCACATTTACTTACCTGGATAATAGTTCTGGATGGTAATCTCACTGTATTAACAACTTTGAAGCCGTAATTGTTCCTGCACACTCCGTTCCCAACAGCACTTACATTTTTTGTGTTGGGTTGAATAACTGGGGAAGCCATCTTGGAATTCTACATTTCATGGAACCAGCTGTTTTGAGGAAAAACTGCTTAGAAGACACTGGATACAGTTGACTCAGGTCTCACATCATAACTATGTTATAAGAACAATTTTATATGTAAAATATAGAGCCTAAGCTTTATACCTGAGCATAACAAAACATCAAATATGACTAAGATTTTAAAATAATTTGTTGCTATTCAATTCTTTTTTTCTGTTACATGCTGGTACTTGCACGCAAGCAGTATCATAGGCCCAAGGTTTCCCATAGGAAAATGTCAAGAATACAAAGGAAGAAATTATACTTTCTTTCACAAAATGGGCATAGCAGGAGTGTTCTAGTCAAGTTTAAGGACATCAGGGTGCCATGAGGCCCATTGCTGTTGAGGAACCCTTTCTAAACCATATTCTTCTTTTGAAACAGTGGTATCGAGTGGTGTAATTCTGGTTTTGCCATTTAGTAGCCACGTGGCTCCAAAGTCTTAACATCTACATACGAAACAAAGGGAATGGGCTTGGTGCTCTCAGTAGTCCCTTGCTCTCCAGCTAGTTACTGTGTAGATGATCTTATCCAATGATCATTTTTCATCCTTGTTTTACCTGCAGGGCAAATTAGTTTTATGATTAGCAAGTAATCACTGTAACTTATTCTTAAAGAGATATTTCAATGTTTGTATCCTCATTGCAGTTATAGAATCTGATGTAACTTTGCTTGATTAGCACTTCATGATTGGCATTTGATATATCTTTGCAGTATAATGGTATTCATTAGCAGTATAGCTTTATTGACTTAAACTGGTTTTGTGTGGCTTCCAGAAATAGTAGGAAAACTCTAGAGTTGCACTATCCAGTAGAACTTTTCAGCTTAGTGGAAGTACTCAGTTCTCATTTCAAATAGCATTGTTAAAAATTCATAGCTGACTCATAAATACAAGAAGAGTTTGAATCCAGGAAGTATTTCTTCTTCTTTGTCTCTCATTGTATCACCACAATGCTTACAAAATAATATTTTATATCTGTCTGTTGGTCTTCTGTGTTCTGTGCATTATATTCATATATGCTCATTTAAACATCACTTTGATCTCATGCATGCATTAAACTTACATGAATTTAACTATATGTCACTGTTGGGAAAAATAAAAGAAAAATAGCACAATAGTACCACCTGTTAAGTACAACATTCCAAAAGAAATATGCTCTACAAAGAACATAAATTTTAAGTTGTACTGTACCTACATTGACTTTGATTAGTTATGTGGAAAAGCAATATATTCAATTATTATATGCTTTGGAATTCAAATGTTAGAACTAGAATAACATTAGAGATTAACAAAATTCTGTCAACAGATAGAAAAATTGAGACCTTGAGAAATGGGATGATTTGCCCAAAGTTGTACAGCTGGCTAAGGCAGGATCAGGATGGGAATCCACATCTCTTAGATTAGTATTCTTCTCACACATTGATTAGATTGTAAAGACTAGATTTTGAAATGTTCTTAACCCAGCTTAGAATTTTACACACAGAGCAGCCAAGACACCAGAAAAGAAAGTAAATTCATAAAATTTTAAGTAAATCAGCTTTTGACTTTGAAGCTGAAAAGCTCAGGCAACAGTGAGTTACATTGTTCAGCTAATGAACATTACTCCAAAAAGATGCTCATACAGAAATGTTCCTAGAAGGGATTGATTTTGGAATTTGAACTGTTTCTTCATAGCTGAACTGCCTGTTTCCTTTTTAGCACTATTATCAAATTGTAAAGGCATTTGAAATTATGCAGCATGAACAGATGTGTTGTATGAGATCATTATTTAAGTCTTTTTAGCTTAGGAGATTTTATTCCTTCTGGGTGTATGTATGAGTAAAATAACTAGAAATGACCAAGTAAATTCAACCATCTCAATCATTTCTAAAGTATAATATTAACATAAAATGCTTGTTAAAAGTAAATGGCATATTTCTAGTAAACATACATATAAATAATATGAAAAGTGATAGTAATTATAGGGGATCCAAAGTGAGAGATTGCGCGGTTCATTCCTTCTTTAAGTATGAATTTAACCCTTGTCATGTGCTATGCTTTTGGTAATAGATGGTCCTGATCTACCTGCAGCTGATAGATTATAATCATATCTGTTCTTGCCTTTCTGTTCTGTCTTTAGCTATAGCCCTTTTTTCACTGTACTGCTTTGGTCAGTTACTTTTCACCTTTACTTTACCTTTTGTTTCTTAATCATCTTTCATGGAGTAAACAATATTTATGTTGGAGTCATTGCATATAAAAGTGAGTAAGACATGGTCCCTGTTCTTCCAGATCTCATTCTGCTCATTCATTCTTCCACACAACACATTTTTATTAATTATCTACTGTAAGCTTGCCACTGTTCCAGTGTAAAGAATACAGAAGTTAATAAGACCTTCCATGTTCAATTTTTTCTTCTGGGGGTTCTGACTTTAGACAGGTTTATATGAAGTTATTTATGGTACTAGCAGATGCTGGGATGATCAAGATGGGTAGGAGGTAAAAGAATGCTCTTTTACATCATGTGGTTAGGGAAGGTATCTCTCAGGAGACAGCAATGACCTGAATGATAGAGAAGTAAGCCACACAGAGATTGGACAGGAAGTTAATATGAGGCACTGGAAGCATCAAGTGCAAAGCCATGAGGGAGTCCCAACATTGACCCACTGAAGGAACAGGGAGGAGGCCATGGTGGAGTGAGGCAGGGCATATGATTGGAGAGATTGCCAGGCCCCAGATGTGCAGGCCTCGTGGGATTTGGCAAAGACTTTGAATTTTACTCTGTGAGAAAAAGCATTGGGCAATCTTGAGCAAGTGAGAGCAAGTAAAAATGTGCTGTGATTGAGTTTTTTAAATCACCTTAATGACTGGAAAACAAGCAGAGCAATCAATTAAGATGCAATTTGTGATCATTTAGGTGAGTTGCTGGTAAGAAGGATGGTAGCTGATAAGGAGTGGTGGATTTGAGATATATTTTGAAGAAATGACTGATGGCATTTACTGTATGATGGCTGTTGTGTTAATGAACTTTTATTTTTCCACTCTGCTTTACTTCTCTTTCCACTGTGAGAAAAGGGGGGAGGCATTCACAAAGGAATAATTCTGTGAGAATTCATTGAATGTCCACTTTTTAAAAACAGCATTATATATTTGCCTTTCACCTCTCAGCTATTCCACTTTGCCATACCTTAATCCCTGCCCCTTTTAAAAAATTTAGTAGACTTAATATTGTAGTGTAGTATATTCCTTTATTAGGAAGCTATATATCATCAAGTTAATGACTAAAAAATTAAATAGAAAAGCAGTGATTAAAGTTCCATCTTTTCAAATATATAGTGACAATTCTGTGTTTCAGAAAGAAAAACACTCATTACTGAAAAACACAAAAGTTGAAATGGTAAAAAAAACTATAATATTTAAACATTTTTATTCCTCTTATGATTGAAGAAGGCATAAGTTATAGTTTCTTAGATTGAAGGTTTCTTTGTTATAATTTATGTTAAAATTAAGAGTTTTAGGGGCTAGGGATTTAGTGCAGTGGTTCTGCCACCTGGCTCAGAAGTGCAAGGCCCCGAGTTCGATCCCTGGTACCAAGAAAAAAAATTAAAGAGTTTTAATAAGCTACATTATTTTGTTGTAGCTTTCTAATTTTGTTGAAATATGTTTAGAATTGTGTCATTTCTCCTTTTAAATTTCAATAAATAATCAAAGACAGTTGTGTTAGGTAGAATATGTGCTGGGTGTCTAAGAACATATTGATTTAAAATTTATACTTTTGGCTCTGTCTTATTCAGGGAAGTGCTAGACACCACTTCAGAATGTGACTCTTTAAACTCTTCCATTGGAAGGAAGCAGTCTCCTCCTTCAAGCCTCGAGATATACCAAACATTGTCTCCTCGAAAGATATCAAGAGATGAGCTCTCTCTAGAGGATTCCTCCAGAGGAGATTCGCCCATCACTACAGACCTCTCCCAGGGCTCTCCAGATTGTGTAGGTCTGACAGAAACCAAGAGTATGATCTTCAGTCCTGCAAGCAAAGTGTACAATGGCATCTTGGAGAAATCCTGTAGCATGAACCAGCTTTCTAGTGGCATCCCGGTGCCTAAACCTCGCCACACATCGTGTTCTTCAGCTGGCAACGACAATAAACCCATTCAGGAAGCCCCGAGTGTTACCAGGATAAGCAGCATCCCACATGACCTTTGTCATAATGGAGAGAAGAGCAAAAAGCCATCAAAAATCAAAAGCCTATTTAAGAAGAAATCTAAGTGACCTGGCTGACTTGGTGGAATTCCATCCAAGTGGCATCTGTAAACTTATTATCTCACACCCTCCACTCCCAATTTTTTTGTTTTATTTTTAGGAGTGTAATTCCATTGGGGCTTTCCAGACTGGATGCCATAGTGGAATGTCCTTAAGGGCAGCTGTCTGCTATCTGCTTAAATGACTAGGTAATCAATTCATCAAGTCAGTTATTACTGAAAAATCATTAAGAGATGAGACAGTTTACAGTCCTTTCTGCCTATTTATTTCTGCTTTGTTGTTAGTGATGTATATACATTTTGTTGAAAGCCACTGTGGACTTACAAGCTTTAATGGACTAGTAAGCCAGCATGGGCTTGCAAAAATTTCTTGTTTACCAAGCATCTTCTTATCTTTCCACAGAGCTATTTACAACATGGACTAAGTAACTTAAGAGAAGTAAAACTAATTGCACTACTGTTTTCCAGACTGGAAAAAATAAATCTCTGCAAGTGAAACTGTGTAGAGTTTATAAAATGACTATGGATAGGGAACTGTTTTCACTTTTAGATCAAAATTGGATTTTTAAGTAGAAACTAGGGTTTCTAATTGACTTGATTTCAGGAAATGAAAACCCACGCTTTTATTATGGGATGCTTCTTTAAATGCATTTAATATTATGAAGTTTCAGGTCCTGCTGTAAAGATCATGTTGTTTTGTTTTCCCCAGGGCTTTCACTGTGATTTACTGCATTGCAGCCTGTATGATAAAATACAAATAATTTAAAGAGAGAAGGCTCATAATTCCTTATGCAAATGAGAGAGTTGAAACTTGATTGAAGGACTTAAAACATTCACAAGCTTAAACTGAAATGGGGTGTGGGGATTCAGGCACTTGTTTACAGACTTCAAATAACTGCAAGGACTTATGGTTTGTGAAAGATTTGTACTGTGGAAAAGATAATAAATTGGAGACATGATTGTGTGGGATTGTGTTGATTTTTGTTGATAACACCACTAAAAACACTATGTTTTCTGGAGAACTGTAAGCTGTCTTGTTGCTTAATTGCAATATAAGAAATAGTGATGTTTTGGAAGTAAGTTGTCAACAAATTTCTATTTTATATCATTTGTCATATTTTTTATGTAGCTTGAAATGTTTAAATGTTCTAATATCAAGATTAACAAATACAAATTTATGGTGCATTTAGATTGTGTTGTATTAATTTGTAAAGATTGGTGTTTGCTAAATTGATAGGTTGCTTATAAAGGTAGATTTGTTATGAGAAATGTCACACAGAACAACAAAGTACCTTAACATCTCCGGAGTTTCTGCTTACTCCGCTTTTCAAAATTCCATCGTAAGTGATCTGTAGAATGCAATGTGGATGCGTATTTGGGTGAAAAACTGATTCATATTAGCTAGAATGGTTTTTTAGCATTATGGGTGAAATACATAATCTAACCTAGTGCTATTTAGGTAAAAATGCTGATTGATAAACAAGTTTCTTTTGTGATTTGTTCTAAAGAAAAGTTTTAATTATCAAGAATGTGGAAGGGCTGGGGATTTAGCTCAGTGCTTCCAATGCCTGCCTTGCAAGGGCAAGGTCCTGAGTTCAATCCCTGGTACCAAAAAAAAAAAAAAGGAAAGAATGTGGAGAAGTTTGCAAGTCTCCTATAAATTGTGATTGTTTATTTTCTTTGATCCCATTGTTAAAAACTGTTAAGGTCTTAAATGGTATTTTCATCAGCTGATACGTATTTAACAGACCAAATGCTATAAGGGCAGAATTTGATTGACTGAAATGAGCATAGTAATAATAAGATATGATAATCAGGAAGGCAGAGTTTAGGAACATAGGCTTAAAGCTTTTTAGGAAGAGAAAGTCATACATGAAGAGTTGAAAAGTGTTCTGTAGAGTTTATTCAGAATGAAAGGAATGCTATATCTCTTCCTCTTTCTTACAAATAGATAAGAGGAGTTGTTCTCTTTGAAAATTGCAAACAGGATGGGAATTGGTAGTTTGATGGGTAGAAAATGCAAAAGCCTCCGGAGCCTAGAATGAAGCTGAGTGCGCAGTTACCAGCAAGGTGGCTGCTCCCAGGATTGGAAGGGAGCTTGGGTCAGAATCAGCAGGGCCACAGCTACTCAGGGTGGGTGGCTGCTTTGAGTCAGGGAGTACACTGTTTGTGCTGCATTTCATACTCTCATTTATAAACAGATTTAACCAAGGGATATTTACTGCTCTATGTAGTTTGTAATATTTATTTTGCATTAATACAGTGTTCTATATTTGTAAATTCAACAGAAAAAATTGAGTTTTGGGAAGCCACAATTATTTCTGTATTATATCATTTATATGTAAAAATTTGGGCATTTCTATAAATTTTTTAAATTACCCATTTGTTGCCTTATTTTAACCTTTCAAAATTATATTTTCCTGTTTTTAAAAGTAATACCTTCCTTACTGTTAAAAAAAGATTAATGATAGAAAACAGTAACAAGCAGGTCAAATTCTGGTACCCCAAGTAACTGCTTTTAATATTTTGGTACTTTTTCCACTATATATTTTTCTACGTATTGATGTATATTTTACATAATTGAAATCATACTATATATTCATTTTTGGATCATGCTTTTTTACTTAAGTATTTCTTCAATATCATTAAAAATCTTCATGAACATTTTAGCGACTGTATATTAATATGCCATTGTATAGATTTAACATCTTTTCAGACATGCTTCTGTCATTAAAAATTAGGCTGTTACCAAATTTATGATATGTGGAGTAATAGCTTTTAACATTTATTGACCGCTCTATATGCCAGGGAGTGTTTTAAAAATATTTAAAATATTTAAAACATTTAAAGATATTTTAAAATATTTATTATTGTCTTTACAACCACCTCATAAGGTAGGTACTTTTTTTTTTCTTTTTAAATCACCATTTTACTAATGAGCAAACAGCCCAGAAAATTAATAATTTGCAGCAGGTCACATAGCTATTAAGTGGGAGAACCATGTTCTTAACTGCTAAGTCATACTGTATAAACTCTAATCAACACTTTGATTTCTTTTTTCTTTTCTTTTCTTTTTTTTTAAATTTTGAGATGGTCTCACTGTGCAGTTCACTCTGGCCTTGAACTCACTGTGTAGTCCAAGCTGGCCTCGAACTTGCAGTGATCCTCCTTCCTGTCTTAGCCTCCCCAGTGCTGGGATTATAGGTGTGTGCCTAAGGTATATTTCTAGAAGAAATATATAGACAAATATAAAGAGATTAGTTCACTTTATATGTATAAGTCCATGTATGTATGCATACACATAGTTTCACATACATAACTTGGGTGTAACTATTTTTAAGGTTACTTATTCATACAGCCATATTGCTATACCCTCCCCACAATACTTGCAATTATAAATGCCCTTTGATTTCACACCATCATTTCTGAATTACCATTTGGGTAGAATTTTGCTAATCTAAATAAATGATGTCTTATAAGGTTGGGAAATTTTTAAAGTATTTTATTAGCCTTATATATTTTTCATTTCAGTAAATTGTTCATTTCTCTTTTTAATCTTGGGGTCTTAATGGTTTCCTGTCTGGCATAGTTAGTCTTTCAAATATAACTTGTATTCTTTATTTACCAAATAATCAGTGATTTTTCTTTTATCATGTATGTATTTTTCATAATTAAGAACAAAATGAAAAAAAGAAAACCTAGCTAAGTTTTAGTTTCATTGATCTCCTGGTTTTAGGTCTTGAATAGAAGTTTCACTTTGTTCATGTGGTCAAAGTGGATTTCCCACCCCTCAAAAAATTATAGGTAACAGATAATACAGAATCATGCTAATTCATTCAGCAAATGCTTAATAGCCTACCCTTAGAAAGTATGAACATTAACAAGTGCTCACTTTAGAGCAACTCAGTATCTAATGGAGAGACAGATCAGACAAAAATCCTTATAAATGAGAGAAATATAAAATGAATATTGGGGAATTGGGGGCTCATGGAGATCATGTAACTCAAAAGTATTTTTAAAATTAAGGATAGTTTAATGGTTCTTTTTACAGAGGCCATAGATTCGCCATGGTGGAAGCATAGGACCAAAAGCAAGTTAATTTTAGTGTTTCTCTTAGTTGTCTGATTTCAAGCAAAGCACTAGCTAACAGCTGTGAGGGTGTTTATTTTGAGGTAAATTGCCAGAAACAGCATTTGAGCAATCCCAAGTAAGCCTGGATAATACTGAGGGAACACTTTCCCTTACTATACCCCCCACCCTGAAGCAAGGTAACCTGTGAAAGATTTACCTGGTTAGGCTTAGGAGGCCCAGCTTGGTGTCAAGTGGGTTTCAGGTCAAGTGTTAGGATTTTACCTGAGTCCCAGGATTAGGACATCTTAGAGTTACCTGCAAGTCTCTTAAGGGCTCTCAAAGGGTCCTTTCTAGAGCTGTGTTCACTGTAGGCCCAGATAGAACATTGTGGAAAGGCTTTGATTTAATAGTGTGACATCTTTTGAGTTTCAAAATTCTGACTGCCAGACTGTCCAGCATCCTGTTGATCCAGATTTTGCTGGACCTGTCCAAAGTCTTCAAGCTCCGGAAGTGAGGGAGAGGAATGTCTGCCCTTGGGACAGGCAGTTCACCTCCATTCCTAGCAGCTCTGCAGATGGGCCCCAGGGCCTCACAGCAGTGGCTCAGCGGCTCTAGGTCTCCAGTCCTGAAAGCAGCAGCTCAGCTTCTGCCTGTCATGGGCTTCCTGTTTTGCCCTAGGAGATTTTGGTTCCCTGTAAAAACAGGACTCCTAGAAATTGTATCTTCATCTCTTGCTATATTTGTCCTCATGTTAATTTTAAAGTGTTTGGTTATATAGCAATCATCCAAGTTGCATTTCTCTTAATATGTCTGTGCTTATCCTTTACCACTTGAAGTATCTTAGCTCTAGAACATCCATGTAGACTAATTTTTCCATGTATGAGAATATTAAAGGTTGAACTACTCATAGATTTCTGCTTCCAGGGGTGTGGTGGCATCACAGTCTAGAAAAAACTAGGATCACCAGCACTTACAGGGACTGGAAAAGATTTCCAAAGTAAGAATGTGGCTTTTGTTGTTTGCTTTTACCCCATGAAAACACTTTCTATTAACATTCAAGATGTGCATCTATAACCAAAGAAGTACAGTCACAAGAAATTAGAGGGGTTGGGTGAGGGGACAAAAAGGAAGGCTGGGTGCTTTGGCCTTTAAACTAAAGGCAAGAAAATGAACCTGTAAGTAAGACTAGACATGGGAGAGATGGGGAAAGGTGCATTTATTGTCAAGTCACCAAAGTTTGTCCATTTAATCTCCAGATATCTCAGTTCATGCCTCTCCTCTTTACTCCTCTGGGGCCTTACCTTCGTTTTTTATTAACTTTAGAAAGCTAACTGAATCCTGCCTTGTGCCTTCTTATCCTTTTGTTAGTGAACTTTCTAAATGGCACAATGGATTTTCTCTGAATGAAATGTTTTTATGTCTTTCATTACTTGTAGGATAAAATAAAAACTGAACAGAAACTAACAACCTCAATGTCCGGGCCCCTGCTTACTCCTCTGGCCTGTGGCTTGCCACTTCCAGGCCTACCCTAGCCAGTCATGGAACTTCATGTCGCTTCTGCAATGGGCCAGGCTGCTGCTGTTGCCTAGAATGCCCCCTCTTACCTTGGATGACTGACTAAACAAACCTTAGCTCAGATATCTCCAGGAAGATGCCTATGCATTCCCCCAATCTGAGCGAGATTTTTCCTCAGTGAATGTCTATGATTTTCTGTTTATTAAAGCATTTGTCATATTCCATTACATTGACCTGTTTACTTGTTTGCCCATTAGGTAGAACTATGTAAGTGCAGGGACCTTAGGTTACTTAGCTTTGACCTCCAAAGAACTGGCACTTAAGACACTGAATACATTACATTCCTGATGAATGAATAATAATACTGTTGCTGCCTTCAAGTTCTAGGTTGTTAAAGGCCTGCACAAATTTAACTAGGAAACCGTGCAAGACTGTTGCCCAATACAAATGAGCATTGTCTACTGTACTTTCAGTGTCTTAAATAGAAATTCTGGGAAAGAAGTCAGGATGGCACAGAGTGACTTGTGTGTTTTCTTAGAAAAACATTTTTCAAGCCAGTCTGTGAGGAGCGGTGACTGGTAGGTTTAATAGAAACAGATTATTTCCAACTGTGTTCACATTTTTTGGTAAGTACTGTAACTTAGCATAGTCAGTCCTGATATCTACCCCCTCTCCTGAACTCAGCATTTAATGACTGTATTATATATCTGCTAATTAATGTGATTTCTTATATTATTAGAACCTATTCTTCCAATAATTATGTGGTGAGAGTATACAATGTGCAGGGTGCTAGGGAAACAACAGTAAGCATAATCCTTATCTACTTTCTTGAACAAATTGATAATTATTTAAATTACCATGGTTACTAGTAGTGCTATGAAGAAAATTTCACAGGGCTATGTGACCATTTGAAGGAGGCCTTAACTTGAAGATAAAGAAGGCTTTTCATGAAGAAGTGACATTTAAGTGGTACCCTGCGGAATTTAGAAGGAAGTAGATGAGAACAGATTTCTGAGCCATCCAGGTGGGAGTAACACC